AAACTCCCTCTAAGGAAAACAGCACCCCTCTCTGTCCACCACCCCTCTGCCCCCCAGCACATCTGACCAGATCAAGGAGTGAGTGCCAGGCACAGCACCCTATGGCCTGACATGAGAAGATGAACTGGACCAGTCAGAGCTAATTCTTTTGGGAATGTGGACTAGGGAGACCGGCCAGCTGTCTGGGAGGTGAGAGCCATGACTCGAGGACAAGGCGTGGTGGCCCTGCAGCTCTGCGAGGCTCAGAGAGGCAAGGGTGTGAGGACAGGGCTGGTGGGGAGGGGAGAAACTGGAGGAGCTGCGCAGATGGAGGCAGAATCTGTGAAAGTGTGACCCTGTGCACTGGTAGAAAGGAGGGGGAAGCCCTGCTTCCTAAAGATTTTCCTAGTCCAGCTCCCAGGAGAACAAATGTTCTCTTCCTGGATTATCCACTTGAATACTAGTGGGTATTTACTGACTCATACAATTGAAAAGTCCCTTCTGCAAAAGAGCGTTATCCTTAGGCTCTTCTTTTTGCCTTTTCCCATCTCAGGCTACTCTGGACTGCTCACTCATGGTGGCTGCAGCAATTCCAGGCCTCACTGCTGTAGACCAGACTGTCTGCAAGTAGAGAGGGCAGCCTTTGGAGTTGCTCCTTCACGCTCAGGGACATGATCTCTCACTGCCTATTTCTGAAGCGGTCACTTTGGTCAGGGAGATGGGTCAGATGGACTAGCTTGGACTCCTCACCTGCCTTCAGTTTCTCACCTACAATAACTATTTGAGTGCCTACTGTGTTCCAAGCCCCATATCGCCCTTTATAAGCTCTATCATTCTACTCACAAAAGCCACACAAGAGCCCTCCCTGGTGGCTCAATGGGTTAAAGCACAGCACTATGAAGCTCTCCACAGCCAGTGCAGCATGAGCTCCATCCCAGGCCAGGGAAGTGACCCACATGGTACAGCAGACCTCTCCTGATCTCTCGCTGCTCCCCTCAGCAGTGTATTTCAGTAGGTCTGCCTGTTCTGCTCCCCACTCTGTCTCTGGTGAAGCCTCTCACCCCCCAACACCTCTGGCCTGTACCCCAGTTCTTGTAGGCATAAATAAATAAATAAATCTTTTTATTAAAAAAGGCCACACAAGTTACTCAATTTATGCCTGAGAAAGTGAAAGCTCAGAAAGGGTGGACACCTTTCCCAGGGTCACAGCAACCTTCACGTGGCAACACTGCTGAGTCATAGCAGAACTAAGCTGAAAGGGGCCTGTGGGTCCTGGAGTGGAGCTCTCAGCCTGAGCCCATGCCTTTGGGAAAGGAAATGCTCCACGGCCTCCAGCGATTGTTTCCACCTCCTGTTGCTATTCTGGTGACCCAAATCCTTTCCCCAGAGGGAAGAATTTGTCTCCAGAGCTTCAGGCTTCAGCCCAGGTTTACTCAAAAGTCCTGCTCCCACCTCTGGGTTCCTCTGGACGCTATTCTCCCTCCACCTAATCCGTTTCCATGGAAACTATTGGGTGCCTGCATCCCTTTCATCCCTCTTTCTGGGAAGCAAAGCCAGCCTTCCAGTACCCCAGTAGCCAGACCTGATGATTATAAAGACCAAAGAAGAAATATCTGGAAGAAATATTTACAAGCAGAGGGAGGAGCTGAGTCGGTTTCTGATTTTTGCTTTGATGTTCTCCAAAAACACACCAGGTGCTCCAAGCAGCTCTGCCAATTAATTACCTGGGCGCAGTGCACACTGGCTGGGAGTTGTTTGTCATCTTTCTCCCGCATCTCCCCATCTCTCAGTCTCCCCTCTAAGAGAGCATGCTGGGGCCTACACAGAGGCAGGCCAGGCAAGTGTCCTTGGCAATGCTGGTGTCAGGGTGCAGCAGTCCGGAGGCCCTCAGTGCGCTGGGGATGCAAAAAGGTGCATGGCATCCAACACCCCCTTCTAGGGGAGGAGGAACCAGTAATCAGCTGACTCCCGCCTCTGCCCAGGTGGGAAACAGTGCACAGGGCATCACTCCTCAGCACTGGGGGGGCGCCCTGTGGCTCTGAAAGCCAGGAGGGGCAAACTGTTCATATGGTTCAGCACCCAGTCTACAAAGTTTCAGCCTAACCCAGACATGGGAAACTGGCAGAGCTGAGGGTTCTAGAGACCCCCTCCCCACCTGGTCATATTAGACATTACTCTCTCTGTGCTTTTGTTTACTTATCTTTAAAATGACCCCAATCCTTGCACTTAGAGACTAGTTGTGAGGATCCAACCAGCACAGCAGATCCCTCGAGAATGTCATCTAAGGGTATCCTGACGCCCCAGCTCTGCCCAGCAGGCAGCCCCATGCCCAACAAACCATGGCTTCGGAGGAGAAGCCACAAACATTGCATTCTGCAAATCCTGAGACTCCTGCCTCTCTCCCTGCGAGTCCATGACCCTAGGCAGAAGTGGGGGGGCTGGCCTAGTGAGCCTCACAGATGAGACACACCTGGCTTCTGTGGAGTGGTTTTAAAAGTGGGATGCTGAACTCCTCATGTATCATTTCAGTATCAGAAATACTCCTAACATCCTATGCTATTGACAAGTAACTACTTTTTAATAGCACACTCACCACTGCCAGAATTCTTGCTACCTCCTTAACTACATTCACTTTGGTCCTCGCACCCATTTACAAAGACCATTACTGCTATTATTCCCTCTATATTTAGAGGATTCAAAGGGGTTAAAAGTCTTTTCCAAGGCCACCTGGCTGACTCCTGAGCAGGGAAGGTGAGTCCCACATGAGTTACCCCTGCATGTTTCACCCTGGGAACAAGGGAGAGGGAACTTCCTTGCTTCTGCGGCCCATTCTGCATCTGAGTCTGAGTTAGGGAAGGGCCTCTCAAGAAAGGCTCTGGCCAGGCATTTAAGATACACACAAGTTGAAGTGCTCCCCCTGCCCTCCCCCCC